GCTCCTCAGCTCCTTGCCGGAGCATCACCTCCTGGGATGATTTATGTGGCACCTTCTGGGAGGGGAGCGATGCTTTCGATGCCGTCAGTGGGCCAGGGGCTGCTACCCACTGTGACAAGGCTGGCGAGGGAGAGAGAGGGGCCTCAGAGCCTTGCTGTTGCGTTCCGCTGACCCCCTTGAGGAGGTCCCCCGGAGGAGCACCCCCCAGACCGCAGGTCTCCCCTCCAGGAGTAAAGAGGGGACACACACCCCTGGTGGCTGCGGCCCCTCCCTCAGCACAGCAGGGGGACACATGCAGAACTCACAGGCGTGTGGTTCGGGAGCAGCTCTGCATCAGAGCTCTGCCAGCTGCTCCTGTCATCTCCTGTGCGCGAGGAGTGACCAGGGCTCGACTGCCTGGGGTGGAGGCCTGAGCACTTAGTAATTCAGAGGCAACATCTCTGAGTACTTTGGGATCTGCTGACTCGGACAAAAAGGGGCATCCAGTTACTGATTTCAGGCAAACGTGTCAGGGGCAGTTTCTGAGCACGGAGGTTTGGTGCCATCGTTCTCGGGGCTGTAAGCAATCGTTTGTGAAGGTCCCCACTAGTCACCGGCGGTGGTGGCTCAGTGGCGAGAGGGATGGGCTGAGGCCCTGGGGTGGAAAGAATAGTTCTGGGGGTTCTGCCAGGAGCTGGCCTCGGTACACACAGCCGGGAAGGGGTGGAGGTAGGCCAGTCGGGGGGTGACATGAGTGGAGGTCCCCACCCTGTGCTGTGGAACAGACGGACAGTTCTCTGACACAGTCTTCCCGGCGTTTTCCCGAGGAGCCACGGTGCTGAAAGGGCCCCAGTGCGCTGGGGCTCTGTCCAGTTGCTGACCAGGGGAGTGAGGCTGGCAAGTGGGTTTTGCGGGGGGCCTATCGGGGCTGTTTCCGGCCCTCTCTGGCCGGTGCCGAGCTGTCTGCTGGGCACCCGCCACATGCCAGGACTGCTCACCCGCGTGACGGAGAGCTGGCAAGAACAAGCTGGCGTTTTCCTCTCTTAGCTGGCTATGCCGGAGGGGTCTGAGCACCTCCCCAGACCCCAGCCCTGTCCCAGCTCTCCCCGTGGAAAGCCCAGCCTCCCTTCTGCCTCTTGCAGGTGTCAGGGGCTTTAGGCGGTGCTGGGAAGCAGGCCGTGTGCATGACAGGAACTGTCCCCAGACAGCCACAGCCGGGTGCCCCCTTCGCTCTTGAGACATATCCCGGGCATCGACCAACTCACTCCTCACCCGTTGAGCAGAGTTTCTCGGGCACCTGCTGACCTCCAGGCCCCGTTCTGCATAGTGGTTTGAGGGTGAATGAACCTCAACAAGATTCCGCCGCGGATGACCCAAGAGGCCCAGGGAGGCCAGGAGACGGACACACTGAGGAAGACAAATGCTTTGAACGCTGTTTGCACAAAATCTAGGAGGAGGGTATAGAAAGGAGATGACCTTCATTTGGAAGGAGGGGTACGGAGGACCTTCTGTGAGAAAAGACATCTGATCTGGGGCTTAGATGAAGCGTTTGCAGTTGTCATAGAAGGGGGCAGGGAGGGCTGGGCTTTCCAGGGAAAGAATAACATTTTAAAATTTAAAATTAAAAAATTTAAAATTTAAAATTAGAAATGGTTTTAGACAATACAGTATTAAAAGAGCCTGCTCTGCGGCTGTCCGTGGTGCCCCTCTCTGCCTCAGTTTCCCCATCTGTCCAATGGGCTTGTGCCCGCTCAGGTACACTGCATTTGTTCTAATAAGATGACGCGTGTGAGTCTGCAGGGTCACCACTCTCAAGTGTGGGGTCTGGGGTGCAGGAAGGGCTCCTGGGATTCCAGACGCTGGCCAGGCTCACCATGTCCTTCAGGGAACAGGCGGCCTCCAGCTCTCCTCGGACACCCGTGCGATGCAGAGGACAGGGCCTGGCAGCTCAGGGAGAACACAGGCACCCTGCTCTCTCTGCCCCCCCCCAGGGGTCTGGACTTGAGGCACCTCCCACCCACTTTTGGCCTGCCCCTGGGCAGGGGTGCCTAAGTTTCCTGACCACGGTGGACCGAGCCAGGGGCTGGGGATCTCATCCCAGGGTCCTGCTTGGCCCAGGCCTGGTGGTGTGAACGGGGAGTGAGTTCCTGATGGGCTGTCTGTGCTGATCCCACTCACTCCTAGACTGCTCTGGCCTCGCTGGTCTTTTCCAGTCACTGTGCAGGACCCAGTCGGTGCTGGGAGTCTGACTGATGCCCCTGGTGCCTGGTGTGAGTCTGGGTTGGCAGATTAATCTCAGGTACTTTGGGTTCTCACGCAGAACATAAAAGATGGTTATGACCTAGACCCTATAATCTCCACTTGCAAATCTGAAATCCAAGTGTAACTCGTTCAACAGCAAAACCTGACCCAACCTGAACTTATATGGAGGCAAAACCTTAATTCACAAGGCTATTTATGAACCCTTTTTTCTCTCCCTTGGAGTAAATATTCACATGTTCCTCTGAGGCAGTAAGAGTATGTTTAATTACGGGGTTCTGCCCAGACGTATCGGGGCCGCTACCTAATGTGTGGGAGGGACACGTTATTTGCGCCTTCTGTCAGCTGAGATGTTTGAAACCCTGGAGCGCTTCTGTCCTCCGAGACTTTCATGAGCGGCGTGGCCCTACGAAACTATATCACAGGGCTGCTGAGAGGCTTCGATGAGCGAGTAAAAGAAAGAGGTGGAAATGGAGGCTAGGGAGCGTCTCTGCAGGCAGGTGTGTGTTGGGGCAGCGTTCCAGGGCAGACCAGAGCCTCCTTGCTTGCCCAGAGCAGCGCGAGCTGGACAGGCCAGGGGAAGGCCTCAGTCGACCCTTGGCCCATCACTCCCTGCTGCCTCAGTGTGCCCCCAGGTGAGCTCACACTTGTGAAAAGGCTCTGGTCCACAGGCAGCAGTAGGAGAAGGGCTGGCCCTGCTCCGGGGCTGCAGGAGTCCCTCAAAGATGCACGCTTCCTGGGCGGTGTGTGCTCCCACATCCAGTGGGATGTTCTGGTTAAAAACCCAGCTGCTTGAGGCCTCAGCCCCTGGCGGGGCCCTTGGCTTAGGAGAGCCAGCCGGGCAGGTCTGTAAATGCAGGCCCTGGGTAGGAGCTGTCTGCTGCTGGAGGCCTCTGTGCCTGTCACTGCTGTGACCCGGAGTCGGGCACAGCCTTTGAAGGTTTCGTGGGGGACCCCGGATGGCAGCCCCTTTCCTGGAGCCCAAGCCTGCCTCAGGGCCAAGGTTCGGCAATGCCACCCACCCTCCTGAACACGAAATGGGAGAAAGACGTAGAAATCACACTGACCCACACTCATGGTGTACAGGCGAGTCTAAATCTAAAGAGCTGGAGATCCAACCCACTTCCAAAGCGCCTTCTGCAAACCGGGAACCGCCCCCACGAGGCAGGTCTCGCGCATCCCTGCTCAGAGCTCTGTCCGTTTCACCTTCAAGTTGTGCATCCCGCTACCAAACGCGAGCCCGGAAACATTGTTTCTGCAAGCTTCCCAGAGCTTCCTCTCGGAACGGTTCCATTAAATCACCCCCGTTCGGAACCGCTCGATCCACTTTGAAGCACGTGTGGCCTTCGGTACAGCTGCTGTGGCCGACAGAGATTTATTTATAGCCGGGCTCCTGGCTGCTTGGTAACGGCCGCTTCACTGCCTTTAAAGAAGCTTGGGACGTTATCTACCTCTATTCAGCTTGAAATCAGGCATGCAGCGCCTTCGGCTCGGGCCAGTGATAATTAAATCGCTATCGTGCACAATTATGGATGCAAAGAATAAATGACACAATTAACCGCTCTGTACTTGGAATTGCTTAATAAGGAAAAGAAGTCACTAGCATGAGAGGATTCAGGCAGCCTCCAGCTGAAAGACGCCACCCATAGTCCATCCAGGTCGGGACACGACCGTGGTCGGTCCCTGAACAAAGAGCTGCTCCCTAAGACCGAAGTTTTGGGCGCTAATTGATCTAGCTGGGTCGGGACTAATTGGCCAGTGAGCTTCCAAGAACAAAGGCTGTGGCTGGGACGGCCAGGGTGGGCAGCCGCCCTGGGGGCCCCTGGGGGCCGCCCTAATTGGTCGGAGGCCAGCTCCTCAGGAAGGCAGTTCCAGCCCCAGAGAGGCCACAGTCCCCCTCCTGCCCTGGGGGCCACTCGGGGCCCAGAACTCAGATGCTGGCTCTCCAACCTGTAAACTGACCAGTGACAAGGCTCAATCCGCGGGAGGCACCATAGGTCATCAGGGAGGAAGGACACAGCCCACCCAGAGGACGATGGCAGGCAGCATGCCAGAGAAGGCGATACAGCTGAGCCCCGCCCCCCCCTCGGTTTCCCTTCCAGCCATCTGGTCCGAGATCAAGAACAAAGCCCACCAAGTGGGTACCTGCTTTCTCCTTCTTGAGCAGACAACAGCTGGGGCCCCGGAATCCCACAGGCATGTATTCTACTGTGTCCCTTCCCATTGCAGGGAGGGTGCTGGGTTCCAGCTGGGGCTGTGCTGGACTTTCTCTTTGAAGTACATTTAATTATCAAAATAAAAGTGAGCAGTCTTAAAGAGCATGGTGCGCATGGCCGTCTAGGCTGGGGGCAGCTACCGCTCAAACATCCTGGGGGTGCCTGTGAGGCACGGAAGTTTGGTGGAGGCCTGCCAAGGCTTCACGGCGAGTGGGACGGGAGGACCCAGGCCCTTGTGGCCGCTTCCAATCCCTCGCTCCGAGCAGCCCCCTCGATGCCAGCACCAGGGTACCCACCAGTGACGGCCAAATGGACACGCCCCCCACTGCTCTCCGAGGGTCCACGTCCCTCCACGCCCAAAGGCAGTACACGGGGCTCTGCATGGCACCCAGGGGTCTGGAACACGGGTCAGATCGCATTCCCACCAGGGGGTGAGGTGCGTGGGGTGGGCAGGGACTTAGGTGCTCCTGGCACCACAGTCTTCAAATCTGAGCTGTCCATGGCGAGGCCTTTGCTTCCTCTGACCCTTAAAACAGGCAGTGGCTGTGAAAATATCCGGACCACCTGCCTGACCGCAATCCCTAAGGACAGACCTGGGTCCCACTTCCCAGACGAGGTGACAGAGGCCAAAGGCAGTAACATCAGAGCTCCCCCCCCGCCGCCGACTGTGCTGGGGCGGTGCTGGGGTCCCTGGCCGGACGGCACCCCTTTGCCCTTCAGGGCTATCTCTCTCCTCCCACGGAGGCTCTTGGTCCTTGGCCCGACCCCATCCTTCCTCGGGGGGATCCCAAGAAATGTAAAGCCTGTTATGGTTGTTCTGGGGAGAGCTGTGTTCTGGGGAAAGACAGTGAGCAAAACCCAAGACTGTCCAAGCGTCTTCGTGGTCACGGAATTACAGCGTCCGCAAACGTTAGGTAATAAAGTATAGGGTGTGCTATTCACACATATTGACACGTGTGCTGACTGATGCATGTGTGCTAATGATCGCTGCTCAGTGCTAACCTACCCCGTACTGTGAACGCATACTGGAGGGTACGGTTCCCAAGCGACAGCAGGAGAGACAGAGCTGACATCTGTGGTCTGAATGGGGCAGTCAGTCACCTGCAGGAAGCCGGTGAGGGAGGAGAGGGCACAGAGGAGAGGCGGCGTCGGTGGGGTAGAGGGAGCCAGGCCAGACACCGGTCAGGTGCCCCTCGTGTGTTAGTGACCGGATGACAGTGGGGCCCAGGTTTGGGAGGGGACACGGAGATGGAGAGGAGGTGGCATCTGGGCAGGTGCCGTGACAACCCTGGCCTTAGCCTGGCCTCACCTGTCACAACCGCTCAGTGGGGTCGCCTCCTGGGATTAAGGCTGGCCAGGTTTGGATGGGCCCCCGTCCCCTGGGAAACGTGGAGACCCAGCCAGGGGAGGGCACGTCCACACGGGGCTCTTGCCGCACACCTGGGCCTCTCCCCGAGTTTGCCTCTGCTTCTGTGGCACCTCGCAACCCTGCACTGGGCCTCACCCCTCAAGTCTGCCTTCAGGAAGAAACCCCACACTGACACCCTGCCTCTTGAGGCCTGGTCGGCCTCTGGGCCCTGCCACCTGGGCCCTCAGCCCCCCAGGTCCCCGGGCCCATCCTGCAACAGCAGAGCGAGGCCACCCACTTCCGAGCACAGGCGTCTGGGGGTGTCTGCCTCTCTCCCACCCCAGGTGCACACGTGACCTTCACCATGGCTTAAGGCCGTTTGCCTGTGGGTTTTGGCAGGGAGACCACACTTGACTTTCGAGCAGAGAAGTTCAAGTGCCTTCCGGCTGGCAACCCCAGCCCGGCAGACGGGACGGTGCACCCAGACGGGAAGGCACACGTCCCCAGACAAGACAAGGGCGGTGTCCACAGCAGGGAGTCTTAGTCACTGGGAGGTTCTAACGCACCTTAATTTCTAGTTATTCTCTTGTCTGTGGGGAGGAGCCCGTAGCACAGTGGGAAACAAGGGGCGACAGTGCACGGGGAGTCGCCTTCCAGAACAAGAATGACTAAACAGGCCAGATTTGCATAATAATTTCGTATTCAAGAAAACCAGGACTACGGGTCCTGGAAAGAGCTGATGTGCTGTCGCTGATTGGCCCTGGAAGGAATAATTAAATCCAGTGACCCCAGTTATTACATGGAAATGGGGACATCGAATGGGGCTTAATCGGGCCTCTAATTTTTTTCATAATCACTTCTGTGTTCACGTTATTAAAAACGTAATAAATGTTCATTGTAGAAATTTAGAAAGCACAGATAAGGGAAACAGGAAATTAAAATCATCTGTGGCTCTACTCTGGGGGGGTCACCACTGAAGCTTATCTGTGCATCCAGATTTTCCCATGCGCTTGGTAGACACCTTCCAAAGAGGCGGCTCACCGAACGTAAGTGTTCAGAAGCCACTTTGCTTAGTAAGGAAATCCTAAGCCGTTTGCTGTGTCCGCAGAAGTTCCTGGGAGGCAGCAAGAAGGCTGCGTGGTGTTCCTTCACACGGGGTGGCCTGTGTTGTGCGTCTGCCCCCGGGCTGGGCATTTGAGGTTATTTCCGGTGCTTTGGAGTGAAGTAGAATTTGTTGCTGGCTTTGCTTTCCTGAGGAGGGCGCGGGTTGGAAGAGCATCACCACAGACCCACGTCGCAGGCTGGTCTGGGGGAACTGTGCCTCTAGCACCACCCAGACCCCAAGACCGGCCTCGGACTCTGCACGGGAAGGAGCGGGCTGTGGCCAGGTGGGGAACCGGGGGGGGGCGGGCTGGGCCTCGGCCGTCACGGAGGCCCTGAGACCACAGAAGATGCTCAGAGAGCTTCAAGCTCCTGGTCATTCTCCACGCTCATGACTGTCAGCCGTCTTGAATGTGCTGTGTGCCCGTGGAGTTCTAGATGCTTCACGAGCATTACCCGCCTGATTGCGACAGCAGTCCTGGGAGGTAAACAGGACTGGCATCCCCGTGCCGCATGTGAATTGGCTGTGCCAAGTAATACATTTCCCTCATTTGACTTGACCCTGGCCACAGCCCCTTGACAGAGGCTGGGCAGGCATCTAAATGCCATCTAACACAAACCAACAGTAGGGAGGATGAGGACTCCTTCCAGGGTGCCAGGCCATAGGGAGCTGGGCACAGACTCCAGCCTCAGGGCTCCTCCACACCAAAGCCCCCCAGTATAGCATCCCTCCAGTATAGGACCCCTCCAGTATGGCACCCTCCACTATGTCCCCCCCAGTATGGCACCCTCCAGTATCACGCCCTCCAGTAT